TTTCTCCGGTTTCCTTCCTCAGGGAAAGTTGACAGGGTGGGTTAGGTAAAAGGGCCCACAGTAATTTGTAATATGCTGTTGTGGTGACCCTGCCCTAGCTGGTAAAGCTAAATAAATAAATAGCTTTAAGTTTTATAATACTTGATACGCACTGTACAAGTGGTTATTCATAAGCATTCTTGAATGACTGGTCGATAAAAGCAAAATATGAACTGCATCCGCAGGTCCGTTCGTTATGAAAATTTGATTTTAACTTAGAAGAACTAGGTGGCAGTAACATGCATGTGTTTATGTAATATATACATATAGTAAACAAGAAAGCGTAAAGAAGAAAAAAATAATGAGGCGTTTCGCCAATTTCCCCCACATTCTCTGAGGTGTTTTATGCGCCAGTAATTAACAACATTCTTGTTTATTATAAAGAGAAATTCAAGGCAGGCAGTAGTTGAGATGATTGATGGGCGTTTATTACCATGGTATAAAGATCATGACATGTTAATGAGTTTGAGAAAGTCATTCTCGTACCCAGGGTTTAGCTTGGGTACGAGATTGTGAGAAAGTCTGTTATAATGGGAGGTGTAACGTGCGTCAGAAGTTAAATCCGCGTTAGAAGTTGATTCATTGAGTGTTTTTCGCTTTGTTTAGGAATGTGTTGACAAGTCAAGAGGTTGTAGATTTTGTTTCAGAGAGACTGGAAAAACAAAGTGACTCAGATACTGTTTCCTTATCAAAAATTTGTGAGGAGGTAACTAATACGCTTTTCAAGTTTTAATTCTCGTCAGTCGGCCACAGCACGTCCTTTTGAAATTCTTACTCAAATGCAAAAGCGGGAGGGGTGGGGGTGGGCGAGGGGGGGGGGTGGTACTAGTCATAAAGTAGTGACTGGCTATGGCCCCCATTGACATTCGACGTATCTTTTCCCCATTAACATTAGGAATGTTCGGTATGAGAAATTTCCGGTATCGGTATACCGAAAAAATTATACCGATATTATCGGTATACCGGTTTTCCTTTGATAATTATAAAGGAAAATTCTTTAATGGAAATTTGAAGAAAATTTTGAGTAATTCTATAAGGGAAAACGATAATTTCGAAGCTGTTTCGAACATGTTTCGAACGACACGTACTCGGTGTAAAATCTCACTGAAGTGGAAATTCTAAATCATTGCAGTAGAAAGTTCTTTGAATTGCCATTCAGTAGTAAAATAAAGCCGGTTATGGTTTCGCCATATAGTTGGTAAATTTAACACGGTATACCGAAAAATTCCGGTATATCGGAAATTTCGGTATATCGGTATGGTTGAATATCCAGTATCGATATACCGATATTGATTTAATACCGATATTTTCGGTATATCGGTATACCGAACAGTCCTAATTAACATTCGACGTTTTGCTTCGAACTGCTCAAAATGTGTGGAAAATGGTCAAAGACCTTTTCTTTCATCAAAAAAGATTTTCAACTAAATCATTTTTTTGCTGAAATGCCTCCTAATGGACCAATCCCCAATTAACCAAAATTTTGAACTCAACAAGTCTAGACAAATATTTCGTCACAGCATGAAAGAGCATCACAAAATTAGTAATATTCCAAAGTTTCGTTGCAAAATGTTGTAAAATGCGGATAATATAGCCTTGCGAAGTTTGCAATTTTCAGTCATTTTAGATTACAAACGGGAAATGGTTACCACTTCTGTGCGTAATACAAAATGACTGAAAATTTGCAAATTTCGCAAGGCTATATTATCTGCATTTTACAACATTTCGCAACGAAACTTTGGAATATTACTAATTTTGTGATGCTCTTTCATGCTATGATGGAATTTTGTCTCGACTTGTTGAGATCAAAATTTTGGTTAATTGAGGATTGGTCCATTGCTAGATAAAGTTTTGATATTGTTTTGATATTGTTTTGTTTTGTTTAGTTACTCGACAGGTGCCTATCAAGCGACACTTCGGGGGATGGGACGGGCTGTGACAATATGACAGCTATTATTGTATTATTAACCAGTCACAAGAACTTTAAACACAAAGGCAAACGAAAGGCCGAAGTCGAGTCGGATGAAAACGAGGCGAAGAAACCGAAGACTGAGTAAGAACCTTGATCTGTTAGTGAAACTGGAATGGGCAACAAGGTATGCAGTAACCTGCAATCAGGTGTTTTAATGAGCAAAAGTGAAAAATCCTGCTTTCGTTTTGATCATGTCATGCTCGCCGATGTAGTATAGTGTTGATGTAGATATGACTATCGTGCAGCAGATTGTGGCCAACCTCTATATAACACGTTGCGGCGAGTTTGTTGTCATTAACTTGTCAACAACTCGTTACGTGCAGACGATATTGAAACAACTTGTCGCGATTCTGTTGGCCTCGTCAACCTTGTTACAAGATGATAACAACTTGCTCCAGATTTTTCACCACCTGCGAACACATCTTGTTGACAGGCAGTGAGATTTTTGGGCGCATATTTGTGAGAGAATTAACATTATTCTCACTCTAAAAACTACTGGGTATCGCTATTTGCTGCACGATACTGCTTAGTCGAACATCTATGAGATGAACACCTATTTTTGTTAGGCTTTATACCAAATATTGTTGCTCAGTACAGTTGTCACTTTAGGTCGTTCGAAGTATTCGGTCGCAGTGAGCTCCATATATAACTGGACAATCATCACTGATCTGAAAGTAGAACTGCTTTATAAATGATTCGGTGTCAGATGCGGGATTCGTTGTAAAGGCTGATTTCCATCGAAGCGAAAATGGTCGCGCGGGCGCCCGCAAAATATTCCAGAACGCCCGCGCGACCATTTGTTAGAAATTCACCTACACAGTCAAAACTCACGCGCGCAACAATAGGGGACGTTATTATGTAATTTGTTATCTGGTCGTGGAATATTTCGCGGACACCCACGCGAACATTTTCGCTCTGAACACAGTTTGTTCACAACACAACTTTGTTCCCTGATTCGCCGATTCAGAAAATCTGGCTGCACACAAGCTATCATTGTCTGCATCATAGTGATGGTTGCCCTTGTCCAGTCTATATTTTTAGATCAGCGACTGAAACATACTATGTTACTCCAGCATATATATTTAGCTCACTGTTGCATACAATCGTTTAGGACACTTCTCTTCATTGATATTCATTTTTATTCTTCAAAACCAGAAAACGTACATTCCATTGTTACGGGCATATATATGTACATATAATATGCGAACGCAAGGATATAATATGCTTTAATTAAACTAATTTTTTGTAATTTCTGCTGAGAGTAATTACATGTTGCGTTCGTTTCCTTAGAGTGTTGGCTGTTGTACAATATAACTTTTTGTAAGTTTTGCGTTTTTTTAAATGGCCAAAGATCAGTTCGCCAATTTTTCAATTTTTGAAAAAGTTGCTAAAAATGGACGAAAAATTGAGGGGTTAGCCTTTCCTTTTTGTCCTTTTTTAGTGCAAAGTTGCTTTACACTATTGTTATGAGAAAAATTCAATCCAGTGACCAATCGATGGGTGATCGAGCGAGTAAACAATCCGGGGGTGGGGAGCTTGCAAATTATTTTATATTACGTTTTCTAGAGCTTCGCGACGTTCGGCCAACTAATCCTTTATAACTGTGTATAGATTATAAAATCTATATTTATATTCATGATGGTACATGTTCTTACTTATTTTATCCAACATTTAGAGAAGTTATAACTAAATTACTGTGTCATTTCAAACACTTGCTATTATATGATTTTCCCCTCCCCCTGCAACATAAAACAAATGAAATAAACACGGAAGAGATTATTTCTGGCCTCAGAGTGACAAAACGTAACAAAGGAACGGTTTTACTAACACTAACCCTACTCCAAACACCAATTCTAACCCTGATCCTAACCTAACCCTATTCCAAATTTGTTTGTAAACCAATCTTGAAGAAAACGTTTTGACGAAATGTCATTCTATTAAAGGTCAGCGAAATAGTTGATGTCAGTAAACACGCGCTCTCATGTAATATCATTTCACAATGGCGGGCACGGACGAGCGGACTAGCGACTGTAGACAGGAAAGGGTGATCGCTAGATAGTATACTTCAAAATAAGGTTTCCGTTTTTATAACGTAGAAAAAACTATCCTAACGCAAAACTAAACTCTTCCTCGTATCTTCGTCGTTGTAATGTTGTCTTGTTGAACATTTATATTCGAGATAATATTTCTATTCGTTGTGATTAGAGGTGTGCGTCGGATCGGATTGACCTCTCTCAATCCGATGGTTTGTCTAAGTTCTCAATCCGAATCCGATCCGATCCGAAGATGAAAAAAATAATCCAATCCGAAACAATGTTTATAAAATCCGATCCGATCCGATGCTAAAATTCGTAATCCGATCCGATCCGAACTTAAGTTGTGTACGCTGTACAGCGTGCGTTAATTATTATGAACGTATTTTTTCATGATCATAAACGATATAATGAATTTCTAGCAAAAATAAGCAGATACGAATCCGATAAAAATTGCAGGGCGATATCACATAATTATGCCTTATAGCGTTCACATTTACAGTACACAGTAACAGCAGTTTATATTTTATTAGAATTAGCATAGAAAAAAACCCCAACTAGTCAAAAATGTTTTATTCAGTATAATAAATCATGAGCTTGAGCTAGGTTTACATTTTAAAACATCTTAAAGTTTATCACTAATAAACCTCATTGTCAGGCTTCATGATACATAAACCTAACAAACCAAACAAAAAAACACAACATTCCTAAATTTCCTATATATCCGATTCCCGTACGTAACTGAGAAATATACGTCCAAAATCCAAATAACTCAAAACTCTTTTTAGAAATATACGTCACAAGAACTCAAAACACTTTTATACCAGGTGTTCAAAAAAAAAACTGGACACTGTTTGATTTCAACTTTGTATGGACTATATGGATTATGGAATTACTTTTATGCTCAAAGCCATTGTGAATTCTGATGCCATTTGTAACGTAAAAAGTGGAATACAGCTGCAGAATATAGAACTTTCTCAATTTGTAAAAATATTCGAATAATTCGACGTGATACAAGAAAAATCAAATCCGAACCGATCCGACAAAAAACCTGCAAAATCCGATCCGACAGAAACAAAACGAAATCCGATCCGATCCGAGTAATTTACTGTCCGAATCCGATCCGAATCCGATCGGATTCGGATCGGATTCGCACACCTCTAGTTGTGATAGACATTGTGTGATTTGTGTTGAAAGGAATTTGGAAATGGTAATATTTTAATACAAATAAATAAATATATTTATTTTATAAATATATTTGCTTTAACCAACTAGAAGCCAGAGCTTTCCAGTCCACAACTCTTGCCTGACAGGAAAGCTCCGGCTTCTGATTGGCGTTAGAGTTAGGATCAGAGAAACAAATTTCTATTGGCGGTGCCCGTGCCATGTTTGGCACCGCATTATATTCTGCCTATAATTTTCAGGCCTTCTATAACTGAGGGTCGGGGTAATTTGCCCAATGTCCTAGCAAAAATGTCATGGCCATTTTTGCCGGGGGCCTAGTTTAACTCCTTGCATAATTTTTTTGGATCGCCCCCTCCCCTCCTTCCTCCTCCTAGGATATCTAATGAAGTTATGGGGGTTAAGTTGACGCATGCGCAAAACTACGTTTAAATCCAATATGGGCGCCAGTTGACAAGAAGAAAAATAATGAAAGTTTATAAATAAAATTTCCTGTTTTGTCTAAGTTCAACTGAACATTTAAGATGTTCACTTTGCTCTCTGGATTATGGCGTTATATGTTTCAGAAAGAGGAATACTATATACTTATTCTAGGCTTAGACAACGTCGGGAAAACGGTATGTGACAAATTGTGTCCTGTTCGCCAGTGTTCGGTCTTCTGCTATTTGTATTGTACTTACGTTCATTGGCTTTGTACTTTTTTTTGTCACTTCTTAGCGAATTATGGGCGCGTTGCTTGTGTTCTATTTTACACAAGAATTCTCAATGAAAATTGTTAAATTATGTACGTGTGAAAAAGTTTTCAATTTGTGACGTTTGATGTTTATAAATAGACCTTTTAATAATACCAGTTACTTTTACCCAATGGCCTTGTTTCCTTGTTCAAAGCTTGCAGTTTGCCTGGCAGTTAGCACTAATAGTTAAAATAAGTACAACCATGATCTTTTCTGTGTTGGTGCAATGTACTCAGGTGAATATGATGCTTGTGATGTTACTCTGAGTGCATATCCACACCGAGCAAGCTTGAAAAATATGCCTGGCCACGGTGGGAATCGAACCTACAACCTTTAATTGGAATACTAGCCCAATGCTCTGCCAGTGTAGTATAACCATGTAGAATGCTGTTTTAATAGTCATATAGTGTACAGTACAGTATATAGTATATGTTAAAACAAGTGTTTATCCTGTTGTCATTACACAGATCGGCTGGTGTTATGTTATCAACTGGCCAAATTAAAACCAAACTTAGCTAGCTGGTTAGGGGCCGCATCCATATTCATATATCAACGTTATGAGTGGGTGGGTTTTTATGTGAACTGTGTTTACAACCATGTAGCAATAATTTAATTTATGAACTTAATTTATAAAACGATTGAAGGTACAGACAACAGGACTGAGGAGTCCCAAATTAAGTCCTACCTACACATTACATTGACATTGTAAAACAATAGAGACAGGTTACAACTTTAACAAAGCTACAATACAAAATTACAACACACGATCAATGCGTTCCAAACCATTCTTCTTACACTTTCCATAGTTGATATGAACTAGACAAGGACCGCCCATATATTGCAATCCTTTCTAAGTCAACTGCCTTAAAATGAAGAGACCTGGGGCCGGTTGTATCAAGCCCGTTTACCTTAAACGGTGGATAAGTCAAAATTATATGACACTCTTTTCTCTCTCGTGAATCAGTCAACTTAAATATTGTGCACTAAATATGTAGTTGTAAACATTATCGTTCTATTAAGGTTCAATACTTTTAGTTTGGTTGTTGAATGAATCTATAGACTTGCTTTCTATTTGGAGCTTAACCACCGTTTATGCTAAACGGGCTTGATACAACCGGCCCCTGAAATTTGCAAAGAAGGTTTGGAAAATGATCAAGTTAGAAAAAAAAAATTATACATATAGATGAGTCAACATTGTGCAGCACAGACATAGTCACAGAATACAGTAAACATCCTAAACATGCATGTGCTCCAAGCTGTCCCTGCATTTTCCAAAGATAGGATTTCAAGAAAGTAGACTGCCCGGGTAATGCTGCAGTGTGCAGTATATTGTGCCAAGAAAGTTTCCAAGTTACCTCCACACGATATCAGGAAATTGAGTTTACTTACACCTTTTCAACTTTTGGTAATACAGTATTTTGTCCCAATGAACCTTAATTTTTCAATGTTATTTAATAGGAACTCCTCAATAACATAACAGTGAAACGTCGTGATAATTTTTAGTGAATTCTCAATAACTGCAAATACTGAACTTTTGTGCGCAATTCCAAGGTCGCCAGTTTGATTTTGATTTCATAAGGTTTGCGTAATTTTTGCCCTAAAAGTGACGTAATTGCATGCAAAAATTATATTCTAGAGGAAATGGAAATGACATTATGAAATGACAATGCATCAAATTAAACCAGAACAGGTCAACAGGAAACTCTGATACCTAGGAATGAAGTTCTGTAGGTAGTAAGTTACTAAGTTTTTGCATGTGTGCATCTTGCAGTTATTATAGTTAATACAGATTTATAGATTCTTTTCGAACTGATTTCTGTTTTTGTTAGTCAAAAAAAGATATGAATATAAAATGAAGTGAACTAAAAACGTACTTATCTATTTATTTATTTATTTAGCTTTGCTAACTAGGCAGGGTCACCACAACAGCATATGCCAATTACTGTGGGCCCTTTTATCTAACCCACCAGGGTCCCACCCTCTCAACTTTTTTTTTACTTGTTGAGTTTGTTTTGTATTTATTCATTTTGTGTTCAGGTTAGTTGTCTTCGATTAATTGCCTTATCATTTTCTTGAAATACTTTCCAAAACTCTGTTAATATTCTATAAAAGGTGCTGTAGACTGTTTTCAGACATTTTGCAAATGTTCCGGACTTTGTACTTTGCCTTTAAAAAAATTTCTGGACCTAACATAATTTAATCAATAAAAATCATTTTTTGGAAGTCTACATGTGAGACCTGGAGTTCAGCCCCATATATGTAAACTGTGAGACTCTAAAGCAGCTCTAAAGAGTCTATAACTTATAGTCTATATAATGGTTAAATAATAATAATAATGTTTGATAATCATTGCCTGTAATTAATTGCCATTTACGGCCGACTGCAGTGGCGAGAATTCACTTTTTGCGATGAGGGGGGTGGCAAAGCCTCCTAAATTTCCGACAAAACTTTCAAATTTCCCACAAGCCCCCATTTTCAGTGGTGTAGCCAGCCGGACGATTTATTCCCACTATGCAAATTCAAAATTATTATCATTTCTTTAGAAATTGATTGTTTTCACAGTCAGTGAACACGAAAATATTTGCATAGCGGGACTAAATTGTCGGGCTGTCTACGCTACTGCCAATTTTCACTTGAAAAGACCGTTTTTAGCCCTCTTTTAGGTCAAAATTTCCGAAAATTCATCAATTTTCCGTGAAGGTGGGCCCCCCACCCCACCAAGATTTCCACCACTGGCCGACTGTGTGTTATTTACTTCTAATTAACATAATTTTTTTAGACTCTTTTGGAACAAATTAAAAGAAAGTTTAACAGTGACTATCGAGGGATTCCTTTTGAGAAAATTACCAATACAGTTGGATTAAATAGTATGTATTAATGCATTGAACAATTTTATTATAAATAGAACAATATAGCAGCCCACCATATGACTTTCAAACAAGACATAACAGAAAACAATAATATTTATTTGCCAACATTTTATTGTATGTTAAATACCGTAGATTTTATACATTGCTCTGAAGATGTTGTAATATATATAGACAACTGGGCTGGCTGCAACTAATTATTTTGTTTGGAACAACAAATGTTCGGTGAAGACAAAAGTCTGGCCAAGACAAAAGTCCGGTCAGACATTTATCAATTTTTCTTAGACAGTGGATGAAGAAAATTTTTCATATCTTTTTGAAATTAGTGTGATGTGCTTCAGCTGGCATGTTAGTCTAGTACTATACTGAGCATATATCTACCAGTCTTAATGTGTCAGTAATTAATCATGGTTTAGGTTGAGGGTGGGAAAGGGTATTTTCGTGAGCCGTGAATGGTCAATATTTGTTCGCGTGAAATGTGAAATGCTTGATTTTAGTGGCGTGAAATGTGATTTGTTCTACAGCTGTGAGGCGTGATTGTTGATAAAAATGCTCCGTGGAATGAAAATTAAGGATGTCTGTTTCGTGAACTGCGATTTTGCTTTGTTTATTTCGATCTATTTTTAATAGACATGATACGCGATAATCAATTTATATGATCTCACTCGATTGCACAAGAGTAAAAACTTCGGAGGCCTTTCGGAGGTTGTCGGACATACTGCGATTTGCAGTTGAGCTTATAGAGACAGGACCGCGCAGTTTGATCGTTGAAACGCACAAGTTACCAAGGGCAAATTCAAATGTTGTCAAGCGGAAATGTGAATGTTGTCATGGGAAATTTAGGCACTTTCGGCTTTTTGGCCAATCATAGTGAAGAAGGCGTTACCCCGAGCACAGAAATTATATATTTGATTTGGGGCAACACCTTCTTCACTGCAAATCGCAGTGCTCGTCACTCAAACTTCTAAGTTATGATGTAGTTTTTAACTGACAGGTTGTACCATGCATTAAACATACTCTTTATAATAAACCTATTATTATATTATTTTATTAGAATCTAGTTTTCCGTGAAATTGCTTTTTTAAGACATGTGAATCGTGAAACGGCTTTTTTTTCGTTGTGAAACGTGATCCATACCCCCCCCCCCTTTCCCACCCTCTAGGTTAAATCTTTTGTGAAAGCAGCCAGAAATGATGGGGGATTGTTGTTTATATTGCTTTGATTTTATTAATAAATTGTGTTAACAATCAACTTTTTAGACTTAATATTCGATTGTACGTATGTACAATAGGTTTCAGAATCAGAATGTATGCTGAGTATGGAAATGTTAAACCCGTCTTCAGAGATGTGAGAAACTAGTTTCATATTACTCTTGACACTGCAGAATACACTGACAAACTTGTTGTCTTGAACATGATCGGGGCGAAATTCCTAGGAAATTTGCTCCCCTTTAGGAAATTCGCCCCCCTCCCCCCCGTTTAGAAACTTCATCTTTCCTTGCTACGAGCTACGAATCCTCGTTGACTTGATAGGTCAATGGGTAGAGCGGCCTGCTCGAGCCAACAAATGTTTCGTTGTACTCTGTAGTGTCAGAATAGATGTAAAAATAGAGATGTTAAATGAGGTCACACCACATATTTTCATCCTTCCAGTTTTTTGTTCATGTGGATCGCTAGTTTGTGGTTTAAAAAATTCAATCTTTTCCAATTTAGTCGGTAAGATTGAAGTTTCTGGAGTAAGATTATTATTTTGGGATTTGGGAGGACATGAAGACCTCCAGTCTCTTTGGGATAAGGTGTGTATATACATGTACTTCCTTTTGTGTAGAGTATTACCTAAACCATGGTTCCTCATGTCCGAAAAAATGTGTCCTGTTTTTATGTCCAAATATTCGGGAAGAATGCAACTACATTCCTATATGCGTATTACTGCTAAAATGTCAAACTATTAAATTATTAGCTATACTAACGATTGGCGACCAATCAGATATTCCCAAGGATGTTGATTTCATGACGTTGCGAAAGTAGTCGTATTCCTGAATGTTTTAATGCAGAAACATATGACACTTTTTTGACAGAGAAGAAGTATTCATGATTTTTACCTCCACCAGAAAGTCCTGGTTTCATCTACGTTTGTATGCATGCATCTGATGCATGTGTGTTCCTGTCTCTGTGTGTATGTCTGTCAGGCATGTACTAAAAGGCGAAACGTCGAAACGAAACGACCGAAACGAAACGGCCGAAACCATCGAAACCACCGAAACGACCGAAACGAAACGACCGAAACGAAACAACCGAAACGAAACGACCGAAACGAAATGACCGAAACGAAACGGCCGATAATATAAATTACAGGAAAAATGGAAAATATTAAAATATGAAATTTACGGGAAATTTTATTGAAATTTTAAGAGAATTGGGCTGTGGAAGCACTGGTTTTGGCGCCAAAAATTGGCGCTATTCTCACTTCTCAGTGGCGCCATTGTTCTACACCATAGACAATTCTACTGATGAAAGCAAATATGGAGACGAGGGAACTCGAGGAACAGGTACGCATTTAAAGTTTAATTAATACAGTAAATATCTATCCATATATAAAACTAGTATGCATACAGACGAGAATTTGGCATATTGAAGTGCAAATACAACAGGCTTAACCCTTGTTTCAGGTTGTCTAAGGCCAGGTTTAGACGTCGAAGGCCAGGTTTAGACTGTAATGCAAATGAAGTGAAACAAAGAACTTAGCTCATTAACATTAGCCGATTAGGTTCGGCGCATGAAATGTTCGACGTCACAACCTGAAACAAGGGTTAAACAAGTGTTCATGGCTTCATGCACGATATAAAAGCATGTGAACATAACTTGTGCCTGTTGTATTTGCACTTCAATATGCCAAATTCTCGTCTGTATGCATACTAGTTTTATATATGGATAGATATTTACTGTATTAATTAAACTTTAAATGCGTACCTGTTCCTCGAGTTCCCTCGTCTCCATATTTGCTTTCATCAGTAGAATTGTCTATGGTGTAGAACAATGGCGCCACTGAGAAGTGAGAATAGCGCCAATTTTTGGCGCCAAAACCAGTGCTTCCACAGCCCAGTTCTCTTAAAATTTCAATGAAATTTCCCGTAAATTTCATATTTTAATATTTTCCATTTTTCCTGTAATTTATATTATCGGCCGTTTCGTTTCGGTCATTTCGTTTCGGCCGTTTCGTTTCGGTCGTTTCGTTTCGGTTGTTTCGTTTCGGTCGTTTCGTTTCGGTCGTTTCGGTGGTTTCGATGGTTTCGGCCGTTTCGTTTCGGTCGTTTCGTTTCGACGTTTCGCCTTTTAGTACATGCCCTGTCTGTCCGCATGATAACTTAAAAAATATGAAACGTATTGATACGCAAATTTTGTAGACTGGGGCAGAGTAAACTGAATGCATAGTAGTTAGCCCATTGTATATGACTGCCAAACATGGTGGCTTAACTCTATTCTAACTCTTAATCTATTGCACCCTAGTGTGCCCAACTTATTGTTTTACTCTGTCTAATGCCAGACCATTTTACACGTCAAGGGGAGAGTGCTGGCACTCGACGTATTAAGTATATGAGTGGATATCACAATGAAAAACTGAATTGTGTTTCTTGTTTGTCCTTGTTTTATGACTATTATGTAGTATTATGAAGAGTGTCATGGTCTTATATACATTGTTGACTCAGTTGACAAACAAAGGCTTGATGTAGCCTCTGCAGTGTTTAGTAAGTATTTGTGTTTGTACGTGTGCACAGTACGGATTATAGAGGAAAAATCTATTCGCAAAATTGTCCTCATGAAAATTAAAAAACTGACAAACCAGTGTCCATTTCGATGCGAATTTTGTGAATATATCGATAGAATTTCAGCCATATTCTTCTTTTTGCACATCCTACAGTACAGTAGTGCAAAAATAAAATGAGGACAGGGGCTGGTTGTACCATGAACGCTGAACCATGAACCACGGATAAAGGTCCAGACACATCGGTCGTGATTCGGCAACGCGACGCGATTTTTTAGTTTTTGAAAGTTAATAAAACAACCAATGAAAGATATGTAGACCAAATAACTCAAAATGTTATAGCGCTGCTAAATATTTTGAAAATTGAAACTAGGATCAAAGTTATCGGTCAGCGAAAATCGAAAAATCGCGTCCGGTGTGTCTGGACCTAAACACAACTGATTTCAAGCGCCATGTTTTTTTACTATGCCCACGAGATAAGTGCCCATACAGCACAGCCTCGGTATTTTTCTGTATGGCCAATTTTGACATCCTAGCTAAAAGCCTGTTGTCGGTTGATCAGTATGTTAGTAGGTTTCCCATAATAACCATGGTGGATCATTGGGGAAAATATTTAATAGGATATAATTTTTATTTTCTATTCTGCCAGGTCATGTCTTGCAAAGTTCTGATCTTCAAAATGTTCCACTATTGGTCTTATTTAATAAGCAAGATTCCCAGGTATAGATAGGTTCACGTTTGTAATATCCCATTGCTCTTTCAACTTATAAGCTGCCATAGTCTGTGTCTGAACTACCTAAAAAAGATATTAACGTGCATGGTGATCCAGTGTAGGTAGTAGTATTCTACAATAAGCGGCCGTGGTTTGTGTCTGAACTACCTGAACAAGATGTCTCAAACGTGTGGATTCTGTGTGGGTGGTATTCTGCAATAACGTGGACTTCAATGATCAGGTTTCTTGCACTTCACTTGGTGGTATTAATATTAGAATGCTGTTGTTAGGGTTTGTAATCTAAGTGAGTATATATACATTTTAAGACCTGACCAGGAACGACTGCGAAAAATGCAGCACAAGGTACTGTAATATTAATACCACCAAGTGAAGCGCAAGAAACCTGATCATTGAAGTTCACCTTATCACAACCCGCACACCCGATCACCTATATATACATGAATTTACGGTTACAGCTCAACAGCTGGCCTCTGTAGCTCAGTTGGTTAGAGCGCTGCACCGGAATCGCAGGGCCGTAGGTTCAATTCCTACCAGAGGACCTTGTGCTGCATTTTCGCAGTCGTTCCTGGTCAGGTCTTAAACTCACTTGGATTACAAACCCTAACAACAGCATTTTAATTTCTGCAATAAGCTGTCGTGGATTGTATCTGTGAACTACCTGAAAAATATATATCAAATGTTGTTGTCCAGTGTAGGTAATGTTCTACAATAACCTGCCGTGGTTTGCGTCTGAACTACCTGAAAAAGTTTTAATTGTCAATGTTTCGAGCAAAAGCCCTTCGTCAAGACATTAGTAACCAAATTTATCTCTGTGTGACAAATTTTTAACACCATGATTTATCATCCATATTTCTAGAATGCATTGTCAGTGGAAGATATTAAGGATGCATTTAAAGATGTCACACCATACATAGGGCGCCGAGATTGTACAGTACAACCTGTTTCTGCTTTGGAAGGGTAAGGTTTATTTTCCGTACACTGATATTGTATATTGATGCTTTATATGCATGTGGGAGATGCACACACATGGATATGTCATTAATGGTCCTTGCATCCTCAATTTGCCTTTTTGATGTATCCCTTAAAACGTGTAAAAACAATGAAACTTTCGATCGTACAGTACGTCATTGTGTGATGCATGCAACAATATACACTTAATGTCTGCGCCCGAGGGAAATAGTTTTGTTTTCCCGAGAGTCTCAATGAGATTCGAGGGGAAACATTAAGATTCGATTCGATTCTTTTACATTGATTTCTTTATTTTAATACAATCTTGGAAAATCGTACAGTTTATAAACTTGCGAGTTTTGACGTCAATTTGTTTTAATTATGTACGTAACCGGTCGGGGTGGCCAAACAATTTTTCACTTGTTACCTGGCGGTATAAATTGCATTTATTTAAAGTCACGTGACCTTGTATTAGCCAATCACGTTTGGTGTTCACCCTAGCTAGCTATAACAGTTAAGTATATATACCGTATTATCTCTATTCGGCCCCCATCCCCACATGTATTAATGAAACCATCTCAGTAGAGACTTAATAGCAAACCGCTACGCAGAGATTCTTGATGCATAACTGAACTACTGTGATAAACACTACTAAATTATTTCGATATTGTCATGTGTTTTTGTATGACATTAGTTGTGTTAAGTAAGTAAATAGATCAAAGAAGCGTATTAATTGTCGGTATCAGCCGCACAGCGAGGGAGTCTATCCCCTTTTCGCGCTAGACCAGCAGTGTGGATTATAACAATGACAAATGTTCGATCAAATGTTGCCTGAACATTGCCTAATAAAATGATTGGCCAGCGTTTCAATATTTACATTCAATTGACAAGCTAATAAGCTATCAGTGTTAAAGCTCGTGCTGATCACCTCCCACATGATCAATCGCATTGCTGAATAGAAGGTAAGTTGTCCCAACAATCCATGCGACTAAAAAGTTCTTTGGTTTCATATACTGTTTAGGAAATTTCTGCAAGTCTGTTTTGGCATTTGATTTGTTGCTTGGCACAGCGAAGCCAAGAAAATGTTTTGTGTTCCTTTTCTCGATTTTATGCTTTATGAACGGACACAGAACAGTATACTAATCAAATGATATACATGTACCTTTAATTTTAATGAAAACTGCGTGTTTTATTTGATCGGTCAAAATGTGCAGAATAAAATAAATCGGCCATTTAGAGTTTCCGATTGCCGACCGTATAATCTACACTGTAGACCAGGGAAATGTTTTGCTGAGGCGGAGCAAACACCTTTCTTGTCGGGCAAAACGAACTCCCCTCCAGTTGTAGCCCAATACCGAAGTTTCGCCTCTGTAGCCTACCTACCGTCAGCTCCCAGTCCAGTTTTACCTGAAACCATGGCTTGTCATGTTTCGCTCGCTACTCTGGTTTAAATAAATGATTACAAAGCCCAGTCGAATTGTAATCAAGACCCAACGTTTCGACACTCCAGTCTAGTGTCTTCATCAGGGGTGATCTGAAACTGCGATCGTGGCTTCTTAAATACCCAAGGGATGACGTCACCTGCCAAGAAGATGCATATATTCTTCTGGCAAATAGGCGCCGTCATCCCTATTCAAAGCACGATGACTCATATTTATATGCCACGCTTCTAGGCAAAGTCTTTGACCGTAACGATTGTTTGTGGTAATTACTTTAGAGTTTTCCCACGCAATCTCGTGTTTGGTGTAACATACATGTTCGGCTAAAGCTGATTTTCCCTTGTCTAAAGTTGAAACAGCCTTTTGATGTTCTTTTAGCCGTGTACCAAACTGGCGTTTAGCCTGACCCAAATACTCTTTATCGCAGTCACCGCATGGTATAGAATATATAGCATGAGTCTTCTGATTTTTTTCAACAGGATCTTTTGGCTTTGCGAAAATATGGCCTAAGGTCAAATAGGGTTTTAAGGCAACCTTAATATTATAATTACTTAAGATTCTCTTGATTGGTTCTGTGACACCTTGAATGTATGGAACTATTGCAAAACCCTTAGGGTGATACCTCTGTTAAGGGTTTTGCAATAGTTCCATACATTCAAGGTGTCACAGAACCAATCAAGAGAATCTTAAGTAATTATAATATTAAGGTTGCCTTAAAACCCTATTTGACCTTAGGCCATATTTTCGCAAAGCCAAAA